ACAGGCCAAATAGGCGAGTTAAATGGGGATGTGGTAGGAATTATCACCCCTGCATCTTTCAAGTCTTTGATGGTGGCACTGATCTCTTCAATCCCTCCAGGAATGCGGTATTGCTTTTGGTTTACTATATTCCTAGGCAATGGCAGTTCTAATGGTGCCCATTTGGCCTTTCCTACCATTATAGCTCTTATTCCACATTTCAGGGATCCAATATGGGGGTTCTGCCAGTTACTAAGTATGTCTATTCCAATGATGCATTCTGGAACTGGGGAAATAACCACAGGATGGGTCCAGGGGCCCACTGGACCCACATTGAGGCGTACTTGAGCTAAAACCCCATTGATAACTTGACCTCCATAAGCCCCCACTCTAACTGGTGGGCCTTCGAAACACTTTGGGTCTCCTGGAATAAGTGTCAGTTCTGAGCCAGTGTCCAGTAATCCCCGAAAAGTTTGATTATTTCCTTTCCCCCAATGAACAGTTACTCTTGTGAAAGGCCACAGGTCCCTTTGGGGGAAGGCTAGAAGAAAGACTAACAGTATAGACCTTCGCTGATGTAGCAGGGTCCTCCTTCAAAGGGACCTGGTCTCCCCCTCATTCAAGAAATTGTGGGTCTGTAAACTGGCTCAGGTGTGGGAATTGATTGACCGATCGTGAATGTCTATTCTGCTGTTCACCTGATCTACCTCAGTTGGCTTGATGGCAGTGAATTTAATTTGGTTTATCAGACTCTCATACCTGGATTCCTCCTGTTATCATCTCCTCTGCTATGAGTATTCTATTTCTAACTTTAAGGATTTTGTTTTTTGGTTGATATTCTCTATATTTAAGCAGATATAAAGCTTGAACTCAAAAAAGTTTAGTCCAATGTGAAAAAAGTATTAACTCTTGCCTTGTTTAGAACTCCTAGTGAGTTCTAGAACGGCTTCATCCTCATAGAGTCTGTCTATAAAAATAATTTCAAATATGTCTTTTAGCTAGGTAAAGCAGATCCTTTAGCCCTGGTTCACATTATAGTCTCCAGAAGTTACCATATATGGCATGTACCAGGCTGAATGCCCAGTAGTATGTTAACTTACTTTCCCCTATGTAAATATCAGGGCGCCCTCATGGCATAGGGGTCATGCACTATTCTACAAATACAAGGACAGTAGTTGATAGCACCAGCTACTCTGCTCCTGCAAAGAGTTAAGTCTCGGAAATCCACCAGGGCAGTTCTACCTTGCCCTATAGGGTCACTATGTGTTGTACTCCATGGCAGTGAATGTTGTTAAATATTACAAAGGAAGCAGCCCTGGTGACACAGTGGGTTACATGATAGGGTCGAAATCAGTCAAAATGGAGTTGATGGCAACGAGTTATGCTAAATACCTTATTTAGATATTTTATAAAAACAATTTACACTGGTATCAGAGAAAAATCCAGAAGGATCTCTTCTCTCTTAGTATGGGAGCCACTGGCACTGCATTCCCTGATGCCTATTCTTCTCGTATTCCTTTGTAACAAAGACCTAGTGATTAGCTGGGCCACCCACAACAAAGACTACATTTCCCAGCTTCCCTTCAGGTCTAATGGCCTCTAAGCATTGCTTTCTTTAATTTCCCGCCTGAATTGCAAGATGTAATGGAGGAGCTATTATATAAGAAATACTGGCGATAGGTGGTGAAGCAGAAAGCAAGAAGGGTGTAAGGACTTCGTGGAATCACCATGTTTACTTGGGGTGGGGTGGGGTATCTGTATTGAAATCACTCTCAATTTGAGTTTTCATTTACTTGCAGCCAAATCAAATCCTAATTAAAACATGAAGAAACCTGGGGCATGCCATAAGAAATTCTGTGAATTTCTGATGTTGAAACACAAGTAAGACAAACAGCAAAAGAAAGGTATGTTATAAAACAAACAAACTATGTACATTCCAAGGAAGGAAAAAAGGTTTTTGAGAAACACTGAAAATCAGTGTTTTTCTTTTAGGACATTCTTTCCATAAAAATTTAGGAAATTTGAGTCAAAGGGATTGAGGTCTCCTTTGATTATATTGCTACCACTCTCTGAAGTGGAACAAATACTTATTTTATCAGCTATCCAGATATAACTGTTTTAATTATATTTAGTGACCTTTTAATTATATCAACATTTCATTACCAAACTTAGAATTGGAATTTCTTACCTGACCAGCAGCCTGAATGCTCAGGATAGCTACTCGAGTATCAGGATCCTTCTGAAACTGATTAACCAGATGTATTCTTTCTGAAGATGGAACACTTCCATCTATTCTAATATAATGAGTCTGGAGTCCACAAGAGAAATGTAAAATTAGATTAAACCCATATGCACCCATCTCATTTTATATATTTAAGAGTTTACTTTTATGTTCACATAAATGTGGGAAACTGGTTAAGATGACAGGTTGGTAATGTCACACAAGAAGAATTTTAGCCAGGTTCTTTCATAGTTCCCTAAAAACAACCCTTTGAAAAATTTTACATATGTTTACCCATTTCTTCAAAGAGAACAACTGGGTTATCATATCTACTTCTGTAATAGCATCTTATAATAACTCCTTCCTTCTTTGTTTAAGCTGCTTGAAAATAAAGTCAGTGTCCAGTTCATTTTTTCAATTATTAATGCAAAAGGAAATACCTCCATATTAGCAGAAGCTAAGGCTGTCTTTAACAGACCTCTAAGTAAGCAGAAAACAAACTTTACATGATGGATCAGATGAACTTTAAATTTCTAGGATCCCTAATTCAAAGCAGAACCAAAACCACACCAGTAGGAAAACAGGATGATGTTTATGTTCATACACTTCTCATGTATTACGGCTTCATGAATCATAGTGCATATATTTCTGTAACATCCCAAACACTCATCTATGACTTATCTTTTGACATTGTGAAAATGAAAAGAAAATATATAGTATTGTCATCCACTTTGAAGTGGGAAACCAAGACAGACGTGAATTTTTCAAAAGTAGGAAAACAGTAAGTGATAATAGACTGAACGAATGAAGTTGGGAAAAAGCAGGACTTTATGTTAGAATAGATCACAGGGATACATTATTCAACTTCTTGAAAAACAAGTGTAAGACTTGCATTTCAAATAGTTTTATTCACATATGCACATCTGCGGAACACTTAGCTTTAAACTAGTAAGACACGTGAACAGTCACTTGTTCAAGGGGATACCCGTGCTATTCAAGAGACAGAACGCCTCAGTTTGCATGTCTTTAAAATAGGTATCATGACCTGTTTAGCATCCATTAAGTGGGATACATGGATCTCTGGGCGTCTTTCTGAAGAAAACACATTATCGGTCAGGCTAGAGGGAGTTTAGGAGAAAGGCCCAGGTCAACATTTTAAAACTATTGCTGAAGTTCAAGTGGGATTCTGAAAACCTCAGTGATACCTAAGGTATTTAGGGAGGGAAAGCACATTTTGAACGAGGTGGAAACACCCTCACCCCCACACCTCCCCCCGCTCCACTGAAAACTAACTTTTTGGTGAAGCAATATGGATTTTAATATAATTAGTAAGATTTGGTGTCCCAGGGAGTCTCTGGTGCTAGGGTTGGTGAGATAAGGTCCATTTCTTCAGGTTCATGCAGTTACACAGACTCCCAGCAGATGACAGCACACACTAAAAATGGGATATATTCTTCCCACTCAAAAATGCCTGAGGTGGAAAATGTAAGTGAATACTTTATATCCAACATGTCATGAAGGGTTAAGGTACAATAGAATCAGAATGAGAGAATATTATAAATATAAATTTAAAAATATATATTTACCACTAACTTCCTCAGAAGATGTCCTACAGAAACTGTTGGATAATTAATAAGAAAGCACCTCTCACTGTACACTACTTTAGTGTGTTACGCTATTATAAATGTTTATGAAGGAAATATGAGAATATCTTCTTTTATAATATTAATGAGCATATTAGCTAATGTTTAAAATGATATACAAACATTTCGAAAGCTTTGGTCTATTGTTCCATTTAAAAATCTACCTACTCAGGCAAGTGTCTTGGCTGCCACATATACTGTAAACTCACAAAATTTGTCAGGAAATGTCTTTTGGCTGCTTCTGAGCATCTCTAGAAGTCTCCAGCATTTAAGATAGCACATGACAGATTTTTATACTTTGAGGCTAGAAATAGAAGCCGAGTTGGGGGGGGGGGGGCGGAGGGGGAAGAAGCTGATGCCAAGGGTTCAAGTAGAAAGAAAATGCTTTTAAAATAATGATGGCAACATATGTACAAATGTGATGGATACAATTAATATACAGATTGTTATAAGAGCTGTAAGAGCCCCCAATAAAATGGTTTAAAGAAGAAGCGATATCCTTGAAGTACTGTTGGAAAAGTAGCTGGGCGTGTGACTGGGCGGTAGGCAAGTCGATCTGGCGAAATTGCCCTGGTGGGATTCCCTGGCAGAGACATCTTGTGTTCAATTTCTTTCTAGGACATCGTATTCCACAGAGCATATGTACTTGGGAGCTGGAGATATATGACTGCAGGTAGGTAGGATAATCAGCGGAATTCATTCTTGCTTTTCCCTTTGCATCTGCCGCAGCCTAAAACAGTCTTGTAGGTGAGGTTAACTCTAAGTGCCTAGACCACTCTCAAGTGTCATAACCAAGGATAAAAATGGAATTCAGATTATAGCTTATCAAGTCCACCATTAATCAATTCAGATTTCATCCGTGGAAAATTATGGCAGATATTAAGTTAAAACGTGAGTACTATAATTTTATAATAGTACTAGAGTAACATAATTAACAAGAAAAATGCTTAATAATAACTTCCAGCTTATATCATCTAAAGAAGGTAAATGAACTCAATTATAAGACTGCAAGAATGTTTAATATATGAAGAATCTATGTTCCGAAAGCCGTGTTATAAAATAAGATAGCAGCATACCTTGTTTTCTATGGCGGCCTCTGTGCATGCTTGCAGCATACTTAAATGGTGAGCAAAAACCAGAAATTTTAGTGACTCGTTCTGCAGCATCACCTTAATATAATCCTTCACAGCACCGGCCTAAATATTAAAAGTGAAACGTCATGAACACCATTAGACTGTTTGATTAGAAAAGCAAAACTCTTCAAAAAGTAAAACACCACCAATAAAAAAAAGCAACCAGTAAGTGCTAATGAACTTTTCCTTGCTTTACACTCCAGGCTGTCATGAAGCCCACCCTGACAGGGCACTTGAAAGAGGAACAAGAGGGTAGGGTTGGGAGGGGTGGGGGCAGGCAAAATGAAGACACCAGGTGTGGGAGTCAGAGAAACGTGCCACAAACAAGACAGGACAAGAGTTTTCATAGAAAGGAAGGAGTCAAGTAGGCTATGCCCCTAGATTGTGTTTGGAATTTTTGTTCAGTTGGCTTTCAGAAGAGCTTGTTTAAGACACTAAAAATGGGATAAGCTTAAGGAGAAGATGGTGGTGGGGGGGAAGGGAATAAGAACGCCAGGACTGATACTGAAGGGGTCAGGCAGTTGGTTTGTTTCTGTAACGTAGAGACTGGGTAGGTTTAGAAAGAGGCAGCTACAGTAGACTGTTGAGATACTCGGAAAATCTGGGGAGTGAGCTTGTCTACGGAATGCACAAGGTCCCACAAGAGCCTGGGAAGATGGACTGAAGACCACAGAAGGGAGAGTTGAGAGAACAGGGGGAAGATTAAAAAAAAGGTGAAGTAGAAAAAAGAAAGATCAGATTGAATAGCCTTTCCTGAATTTATTTGAGGCTTAGTTATCTATTATGTGTTGGGCTGCTAACCCTAAGGCTGGTGGTTCGAATCCACCAGCCTCTCCTTGGGAAAAAAGATGAGTCTTGGAAGCCCGCAAGGACAGTTCTACTCTGTCCTAAGGGTCACTGTGAGTTGAAACTGACTCGATGGCAATTCATCTGCTTGACTTTTATCTACTGGGAGTGAGAATGTAATATCAGATGGATTAAATAGGAATTAGATTTAGAAAAGACAGTATGAATTAAGTTTAAAACCTGAATATTTTATCACTTTACTGTTAAAAGCTAGTTATATTGAAATTCTGAATATGAGAGGATGGACACATTTAACCTCCACTCCGAACCAGACTACATTCCAATGACAGCAAGTGTACAGGAACCAAAGAGAATTGGCAAAGCCCCCATGGACACAACATTTTGGAAATAACAAAGTAGATAGATGCCTAGTAACTGATTAGCTGACCTGCCAATGAAGTCCCAGGCAGGTAGAAGGGCAAGGCAGGGAGCACCCACCATGTACACTGCAGCGACCCAGGCAGACTCTGGCAATGAGCACGTCTGGAAGCAGCCTGGAGTGCGCTGGAGCCTGAGAGCGAGTTAAGTGCATTTTAAACAGTTAAATCTATGAAAGACTGCCATATGTCCTCTCCTATTCCATTCTACACAACAGACAATCATTCTAACAGAACACCAGGTATAGTCTCAGGAGGGAGGAAAACAAAAGTGCCGTTTCCTTTCTTTCTAAACATTCTCTTGTGAACTGGATGAAGGCAACAAAAGCCTCATTTGTTAAAGAAGGAGAAACTAGGGCAATCCATAATGGTTAAAGATACTGGGAAGATAAGAAATAATGAAGAGTTAGAGGATGAATCTATTGTCAGAAAAATAAGCAAAAAAACGGGGGGCGGGAGGAGTACCCAACAGCCTCACAGTTAATCAACTCCAAAGAAAATAAAGTGTTGTGTACACAATAAAACATTTCCATGGTGTATTATATGGTTTGCCTGTAACTATTGCAAACACGGCTACAATCATGTACAAGATCACTAATAAGGAAACCAAAATTAGTATAAGTTACTGTAAAATTAGTAACACTAAAACTTTCTACCACTTTATTGGCGGTTGGGAATACGGGAGAGATATATGCGTGGAAGTGCCAGAGGAGTGAAAGAACTTCAACTGTATCTTCAATATGGACAAGTTAACACATGACACCTACAATTACCAAGCATAAAGAAATTCCCAAGGTGAATACAAAACAAAAAAGTCCCCATTTGCTTAGAACAACAGAGGAATAAGAAATAGCAGAAAATGTACAACCCCCTCCTCTGCCATGAGATCATAACTGGACAAGGTCCAAATACCATTGTTACACATTTTGATGAAAAATTCTACAGATGAACTCTATCGAAAGGGATATAATACAGAGCAGAATTTAAAATTCTCATGGAATCCATACTTTCTGGATCCAAAGACAGTAGACGAATCCCTGACCTACTGCCCTGAGAGATAATCTTTAAACCATAAATATCCCCTGAGGCCTTATTAAGATCAAACAATACCTGAAACCAAACCTACTACCACTGAGTCAATTTTGACCATAGTGACCCTATAGAGCAGTGGTTCTCAACCTTACTAATGCCGCGACCCTTTAATACAGTTCCTCATGTTGTGGTGACACCCCCCGCCAGCCACACAATTATTTTCAATGCTATTTCATAACTGTAATTTTGCTACTGTTATGAATTGGGTGACCCCTGTGAAAGGGTCGTTCTACCGCCAAAGGGGTCGCAATCGATCCACAGGTTGAGAACCTCTGCTTTACAGGGTTTCTGAGGCTGTGAAACATTATGGGAACAGATAGCCTCATCTTTCTTTTTCAGAGTGGTTGGGGAGTTTGAACTGCTGACCTTGCAGTTCAATACTTAACTCCTGAAGAACGTCTTGAGAACTATTTTTATGGGATCAAATTGACAATAGGAACTCCAAAACTTAGATATGAAACTTAGAGGGATGGGCCTCTATGATGATGAGGTTGGAACAATTTAGAAACACTCAATGCCACTGAGTCGATTTTGACTCATAGCAACCTTAAAGGGCAAAGTAGACCTATCCTTATGGGTTTCTCAAACTATAAATCCTATGGGAGTAGAAAGCCTCATCTTTCTCTGTGGAAGGGCTGGTGGTTTTGAACTGCTGACCTTGAGGAACCCACTATGCCATCACAAGGGTGAAAATGGCAACACATGATTGTAGTCATGTAGAAATTGCTGAATTGGTGTAAGTTCTACCATATGTATTCTCAGAAAGAAAAAGTTAAAACTATTCTTCTCAATTTATCATTCCCTACATAGTAGTCCTAAATAGCTATCTGGTTCAAAATAGTACATACCAATCAATTTTAGCTCAGGATTCATTGTTGACAACTTCCAACTTACCTAGCTTCATACTTTGTACATTTCACATTTTGATTATTAATGGATGTTGCAGTTTTTTTTTCTTTTCATTTGGAGTCACATTGCATAAACAAAGGTCCAAAAGTTTTACTCTAGACACATTATTAAGGTAACCTGAACTTTGAGCGATGAACCCTGGTGTGGTATAGTGGTTATCTAGGCTGCTAGCCACAAGGTCACGAGTTTGAAACTACCAGCCTCTCCATGGGAGAATGAGGAGGCTTTCTACTCCTGTAAAAAATTACAGTCTTGGGAACAGGGGCAGCTCTACCCTGTCCTAGAGGGATGCAATGAGTTGGAATTGACTCAATGGCAGTGAGTTTGCCTGTTTTGTTGGTACTTTGAGGAGGCAGCTCTTCCCCAGTTGTATCTTGAGTGCTCTCCAACTGTGTTAGTCTGGGTACATTAGAAAAACAAATCCACAGAAGCTCATGTATAAGGGAGAGTTTTATATAAAGGTTAAGTGCACATCAAGAAAACATCCCAACCCAGTACTGCCCAAGCCCACAAGGTCAACATTAGCCCATATGTCCAACACCAATCCACAAAGTCCTCCTCCATCTCACAAAACACACACTATGACACCAACTGCAGGAGGAAAGCCGAATCAGTGAACGTGTAAGCATCTCGAGCTGGCAGGGGTCTCCACATGGCTGCTCCAGCACCTAGAGCTGCATTGGGGTAGGTCCATGTGGATTCTCCTTGGGGATGTCTTGCAGGAAGTGAGCCTTGCCAGCTGAAGCAGGGAACTGCTAAGGCAGCTGCACCCTGGTTCGACCATCACAAAGCAAGAGACCTGAGAACTAGAATGGTGAGGCTCACCAAACCATTTATCTCTCCGCCCTTCTATTAACCTCACATGTGTTTATTGGCCAGGTTGGCACAATAAACTTTAACTATATCACCCACCTAAGGGGCTCAGTGTATAAACCAATGATGCATTGGTTTTCATAAGGTTTCCACTGTCCAATTAAAGAAGATATCCAGATCCATGTTCCTGGTCTGCCTTTACTCTGGAAGTTCACTTTGAGTGACTCTATTGGCATTTCAAATATCAGTGCAAGAGCTTCCTACATCACAGCAACACATAAGCCACCACAGCAAAACAAACTTACAGATGAGAGGTATGGAAAAACGTTAAGGGAAGTTTGGGATGCATTTGTTTCTACTCTTTACATTATAATCATATGAGGCTTTGATAATAACTCTTAAAATCTGCATAAGTCATTAGGGACATTTTAAAAGTAAAAAGATGTTTATTTAAATTCCATGGATATGCCTATAAAGCCAGAAGAATAATTTGGCATGCTTCATTTTCCCTAATATTCGGAACAGTAGAAACTCATCATACAATGAGCGTGGCGGCCGTGAAGAACTTTAGCCTTGGATGTCGGTGCCTCACAAAGGGGAAGCATAGCCCTCTGAAAACCAGGAGCCATACAGTCTGGATATGCTGCCACGGCAATGGAACCGCTTCATTAAGGTGCATGTCTGCCTAAAGAGGTAGATTTACTGTGATAAGCTTTTCAAAAAGTTTATCTAAAGTTGGAGTGTATTTTTAAGGTGAGTTCATTTCCAATCCCACACTACCATCTCTAGATGCATTCCCTTGCCTTTTTGCAAGGGAGCCAATTCTGTCTGTCAGAGTCCCATCACTTATATCACCCCCACCCCCACCCCCACCCAGCCAAAGCTGCTGATGCCAAAGCCCAAAGCACTCCCCATCCCAAGCCTTCCATCAACTGCAGTAGAAGGGCTTACAGTTACTATTAATAGGATATAGTTCAATTATATAACTGGCTAAACAGGCTCTCGGGACTAATCTAACAACTTAAC